AAAACTATTAATTCCTTATAAGAATGAAATAATGGTCCATGAGATCTTAGGCCCTGTTTGGTTCCTAGGAATTGGAAAATAATCTAATAATGAAATGGAGAAGCACTTTCTAGATATTGGTTTGAATTCATGGGATCCAAACAGGCCTTTAGCAAATTCGGATTACAAGATGCTTTATAATGCAAGATGAAAATTGTGTTCAAGTTCCAACACCTAAGACTCAGATCACAAGCCTAAAATTTGAGAGGTACCCGCCTCACCTTGGTTACTGCTGTCCTCAGCTCCCCCCGCCTTGCGCCCCCACCACCACACACACACTCCACTACATGTCAGCTCTGAATATCCCCAAAACAGCTATCAAAGCTATAGATCGACGTCGACGTGCTTTCTTTTGGACAGGGGATGAGGTCTGCCATGGTTCTAGGTGTTTAGTGGCCTGGGAAAACGTTTCTATCAGTAAGAATGATGGGGGCCTTGGTGTTAAAAAATTGGAGCTTCAAAATAGATGCATGCTCATGAAATTCATTAATAAGCTTTTCTCCAATGAACCTGCCCCGTGGAAGAAATGGATTCTCCGAGATGCTGCATCTTTTGACACCCCCTCTAACAGTTCGACTTCATATCTTTGGCGGATCATTAGTGATGAACTTACTACCTATCGTTCAATTACTTATGTGAAAGTTCGTGATGGTGCTTCTACCTCTATTTGGTTTGATCATTGGCTCCCTGCCGGCCCTCTTTATGTTTCCCACTCTGCTCTTTTCTCTCACACTACTAGGCCTAACGTATCGGTTCAGGATGTTTTCCAAGCTAGGTTTGATTTGCACCTCCGGTCCAGACTGACAAATGCTGCTGCAACCCAGCTAGCAGACCTCCTTTTATGCTTGCAGGAAACCAATCTCGGCGACGGAGCTGATGAGCAGCGTCTGAAACATACTGGCAAAGTGTTCACCACCAGAGATGCTTACGCAACACCTGATCGCCGTTCAGAAACACCAGATGTGCATGGGCGTCATATCTGGGGTACATGACTTCCAAACAAAGTCAAGATTTTTGCCTGGCTCTACTTCAAGGACAGATTAAGCACGAGGGGCAATCTCTTCGCAAAACATGTGCTGGATGACGATGCTTGCCAACGGTGCTCTGGTTGTGTTGAAGATCACCAGCATGTTTTCTTTGATTGCACTTCCAGTGCCGAGCTATGGCGAATGCTCCAGCTGAGCAGTGTTGCTGAACTGGCAGATGCAAATGTATGGACTGGATGTCCTCTCCCCCACTTGGATGCAAAACTCTGTCCATTTGTGTTTCTTAGTCTTACTATCCTTTGGCGGATATGGGATGCTAGGAATGCTGAGGTCTTCGGAAGCGAGCCGTCATCAAGCCGCCGTATTATTACTAGAGTTTGTGATGATCTAGTTATTTAGCAAAAACGACTGAAAGTCGATCGTGATGTATCTAAACTTAGTCACTGGCACTTGTTCCTGTCATCTTGTATCTCTTCGACAAACTCCGCGCTTTGATCGGAGCTCTTGTTTCTAATAAAATCAGGTGGGGAAGCTCTCCCCCCGTTCACTTTCAAAAAGAGAGAGAGAGAGAGAGGTACCATAACAAGAATTAGATTGAAATCCAGAAGAGACCATCCAAACATTTATACACATGGCAACTTGATGGCATAAGGTTCTGTAAAACCTATAGATAGGCTACAAAAACCACGCAAGTTTTATAAATAGGTTACTAGTAAAAATAATTTACAGAAATTATGAGAACCTTTTTTTTTGTAATTTTCCGATTTTTAAAGACAGCAATTCATATGGCAATCCTATATTGGTTAATCTACTAATACTCTGAACTTCATTTTAAACAATAAAAGTCAATTAGGAGGAGTATAGTAGGTGTTCGACATATTGGGGTGTCAGTATGCAAGCTCTCTAAACGTCTCTGCACTGTAGAAAGCATTTATATAGATGAGTGAACAGTATCACGAACCTTATGATATAAGTATTTGGATATCTTATATGGTTCAAGTAGTGCTAAATATAGAAAGTGTTGAAGTCCCACTCTTCATCAATTCGAGCCGACACTGATCATGTTAAGCAATAGTAAGAGCAATTTTGGGTGGTTTTGATGACTGACCTTGTGATTTTTAAATCAACATGGTGAGTGGCACAAGAGAAAATACTACTCCCTTCCGTTCCAATTGAACTATGTTTTTTTTTGGCTTCAGGTGCATTAATAAAGACGCAAGCTAAAAACTAAAGTTTGAGATCATCTTTTTAAGAGGCTACACGCTACACAGCACTCAGTCTGCAGTAATCCCTGCTATCTATCAACGAATTGGTACAAACACACATAAAATCGCACACACATGAAGAATAGGCCCAAGCATATCAATCTATCAACGAATTGCAATGCCTGGTACAAACATGGTCTGACTCGCAAGCGAGAAGCGGGAATTGGTACAAAACCTAAGCGATAGCATCAGAGCAACAGAGACACCGAGAGACGATACGGGGGTCGGGGACTCACGTTGCCGGTAAGGACTTGAGGTGGGAGGCGAGCGCGGAGGCGTGGTGGTGGACGCAGGCGGCCGCGCCGAGGGCAAAGGCGCCGGTCCAGGTGGAGATGAGCCGCTGCGGGTCGGAGTGCGGGACCGCGGGGTCGCCCCTGTACGCCCGCGCCCAGTAGTCGTCGAACTCGCCCATCCTCCTCCTCCCCTTCCCCTTCCCTGCGCCGCTGCGCGCGCAGGGTCCGGACACAAGAGCGCTTAGGTTAGGGTTTTTGTGTTTCGCACGGCAGGAAGGGAACAGGAGGGGGGCAGGAAGGGGGCCGTACCTGTTGGCTGTTCGTCGCCGGCGGCGGGCTCGACGAAGACGCTTAGGGCGGCGATACGCTGGGGAAGCCGGGAGGGGATAGTGGAGCGGGAGGATAAGATCCCATGGAGATTTACATGGGCCGGCCCAGATCTTGCAGCACCGACCACCGACTGCAGCAGCTTGGGCCCGTTTCATGGCCCTGTTTGCTCAGGAGTCAGGAGGCAGGTAGATCCTGTTTTGCAAAAAAAAATCATGTTTCTATGTTTTTTCCTATATATAAAATTAAAACTGACTTTTTAAAAATAATTTATTTCGGTAAAACTTTATGCGTTTCAAATGGGTCTTCAGTCAGTCAGTCGGCCACGAGGGGCTATTTGGATGACGACTTCCAAGGCAACGTCTGACCGTGCACGTGATTAAGCGTCCTAAATCGAAGGGAAGAACCTCTTGGAACGTGCCACACACTGTAATTCCATGCTTAGGGCGTTCGTCCGAGCGTGTGTGTCTGGAGGCCCTCGTTCTCGGACTTACGCAGCGATCGGGCCAACGGGCCATGTTTTCCTCTACGCTCTCTCCTTCGTCTCTACCTCGCGAGTCGCGACAGAACCCTCACCGATAGAAATTCGAGGCTTCACCGCATCGGGCGCCCATCCCACTCCGCCTCGCCGTTGCAAGCGTTGCGACGCCCCCCATCCCGCTCCGCGCCGCATCTGCCACTACGTCACGCTCACTCCTCCAGAACCTCGTTGACGCTGGCATGGTCGACGAGTCGAACGTCTTCGACGGGGCGTGACAACGACGACCTCCTCTGGGCGATCATCAACGCAAACCTCCCTGGCGGGGACCTCGACCTCGACGTTTGGAAGCTCTTGGCCGCCGCGGCGCTCTCCTTCGTTGGCGTGCCCATGCTACTCGAGTACCTCGTTCAAGCAGCAAGGTGACATTTTTTTTGCGCACCGCATATTGCAAGCTTATGTTTCAAGTATTTCAAATGTTTCATTTGGATGTTGCAAGTGTTTAATCTTGATGTTGCAAAAGTAGATCGCGATGTTGCACATGTTGCAATGGCTATATACGTATGTTTCAAGGGTATGTTCCAAATGTTTCGACTATTTTTTCAGACGTTCGTTGCAAGTGTTTCATTTGAATGTTGCATATGTCTCACACATGTGTTGCAAGTGCTTTATATGAATGTTGTATATGTTTGCAATGGTTTTCAAGAGTTTTCAAGTGTTTCAGACGCATGCTGCAAGTGTTTCAGATGTTTCATACGTATGTTGCAAGTTTCATTTATATGTTTCAAAAGTAGATCGAGATGTTGTACGTGTTGCAATGTGACCGATCCTGCCACAACTGCCTGCTGCAATTGCTTGGGCATTGTGCATGCAGAGGGGACGGGAAGCGGAGGGCGATGGCGGCATGCGCAACTGATCCCCATGCAGCATGCGGGTGCAGCAAGCGGAGGGGGCGTAGGAGTCCAGACAGAGACACGAGGTGAGGGCGCAGGCCTCCGAAAATAGGCGTAAAGTGGGGGTGCAGTTTTCTAGGAGCAGTAAACGCTGGTGTTAGGCGTAGAAACAGACTGCAGCTGTGGGCGTTCGAACGCGAACGTCTTTCCGAGCGTTCAGTGCCGTGCCACAAAGGCAGCAACCAGCCTGCACAACGTTGAGTCAGGTCTTGGGACGGAAACGGAACGGGACTATCCAATTCAACGACAAAAGGACTCTTGTGCACCAGCCTTCCTTCCTTGTGGCCGCACGCCTGCAAAGTTCAGATATACCGAGTGGAGTCGGCGCTGCTGTGGACCGCGGATGGCGGAAGAAAATTCGTTTCTTTACGTCCGGGCCGCATCCAACCGCTAGCTTTATTCCCGCGCAACCATCATGCATGCCTGCCTGTGCCCGCTGTGCCAGCCAAACACCCTTCGTGCTCGTGCATGCGCATCTCATCCATGATCCAACCTCCGATCTGTCCCCATTATTTTTTCCCCGATCCTCTCCTTCCTTCCTTCCTCCCGGCCGGCCCCTCGATTCCCTCCCCGGCCGGTCGTCCGCAACCGCAAGACATGAGATGAGAATGACACCTGCCACGCCGACGCCGTGCGGCGCCGACGACAGAGCTACAGCCAGTAGCCGTCGCGAATCGTCGAGCGGCGGGCTGGCTCCTCCTGTGGCGACGACGACGACGATGAGGATCATGGTGCGGACGCTCCGCGGGGACCGGGTGGCGCTGGACGTCGACGGCGCTGCCACCGTGGCGCAGCTCAAGGCCATGGTCATGCCCCGCGAGGGCGTCGCCGTAGGCGCCCAGAGGCTCTTCTTCGCCGGCCGACACCTCGACGATGATGGCCTCCCCGTCGCGCACTACGGCGTGCGCCACGGCTCCGTCGTCTTCCTCAGCCTCCGCCTCCGCGCCGACGACGCCTCGCAGTCACAGTACGTGCTCGCTGCTAGTTTCGGTACACACACGCTTCACGCTTGCGTGACCAACTGACCATTCCATCGCCATGGAAGGCAGGAGATGCGTAACGTGCAAACGCAGCCAGAGCAGCCAGTCACGACCGTGAGCCAGCTACTGATGATTGACCAGCAGCTGGTGACGCGCTTCGAAGACGGCGACGACCACGGCGGCGGCGGCGGCGAGATGGAGGAGGCCGTCGTCAAGACCACGAGGCCGCCGGTGTCGCGGCGGTCGCTCCGCAAGATCCTGTCGCGGTTGCACGTGGACGTGTGGACGGCCCAGCACGACGCCAAGCTCCTGGACCTTCTGCTGCTGCGGAGAACACGTGGCGGCGGCGGCGTGGGCGACCTCACCGCGGACGACTGGTCGGCCATCCGCGCCGAGCTCAACGCGGCCGCCGGGTCCGCGTTCCCCGTCGAGGACCTGCAGCGGAGGCTGGCCGAGCTCCGGCGCGAGTTCGACGCCGTCAGCCGGATCAAGGACCACCCCCGGTTCACCTACGACGCGCGCCGCCGGGTCGTGGTCGCCAAGGAGGCCGAGTGGAAGCGCTACGTGCTGGTTCGTGCGGATTGCTGCATGCCTGCTGCTGAGTTGATCGATCGTACGCACGTATCACCCGGATGATCTTCTCCTAATGACCTACTTGATTTCCACGGCGGTTTCAGGAGAACCCGGATGCGGTGGCGTATGAGGGGAGAAGCACGCACTTCGGTCGCCTCCGGGCGATCTTCTCCGGCGGCGGCGGCGTGGCAGAGACGCGCGGGAACGGCGGGCCCATGCGCCGCGAGTCGCGGGCCAAGAGATGCCTAAGAAAGCTGCTGAGCAGCTTTGGGCTCCGGTGCAAGCTGTGAGCCTGTGACAACGGTGACACTTGTGTGCTAGCTAGTGGATGCACATGCTGACATGCGAGCTGACACGATTGGTCAAAAGCTCCGTTGCACGCATTGTGTTGTGTACAGAAAGGACCTCGTTTTCTTCCGGCTTCGTTTCGTGCGTTTCAGACTGTCAGTGAACTAGTAGGTTCATCGAGTTTCCTTTTTTTTCACCTTTTCTTTTCTGATCTGATGAACCAAAGATCGACCTTTTGTGGTATCAAAAGTCTCGAAACATAGTTTGTTCACAACTTCTATGTTGCAGGTGACTTTGAGTCCCCCGCTAGTGAGGTTACCGGAAGGCCATTTTTGGGTTTGGTGGGTCCAATGGGTTTACTTTTTTTTCGTGTACGCATTTTTTTTCTCCTCAACGTGATATGCTCTCCTACTGTGGTACCATTTGGTTGTGCACTAAGCGTATACGCTTTAAAACAAATTTTACTATTTTCTTAATTTCTTATTATGCACAATTTTAGAGTTATGGAGAGCAATCGAAAAAAAATCATTTTCTTGAAAAGCAGGTTTGAAACGCTGCCTATTTATATTGCCCAACTTGAAACCCTACTAAATTAACATATATTTTTATCTCTTCATGTATAAATAAGTTGAGTTTTAAGTTAAATTGCTTGCTATTACAGTATGCTTCCAAGCTAAGAAAAATGACGTGAAATGTTGTAACCAAATCACCACCAAAACTGGATTCTCAAATTCAAGCGCCATGTCAGCATGGGCGTGATTGGATTGCGTACGTGTGGCCTGTTCGCTGGTTGATTTCTGGCCTAATAAGTCCGGCTAATACTGATTTGTTGTGAGAGAAAAATACTATTGGCTGACTAATAAGCGCAGGTTGAAACCAACTAGAAAAAAGACCGATGACAGCCGGGAAAATATCCGGTGGAGACACACGCACAGCGCGTCCGTGCATACCGTCTTCAGATTTGTGCCGCGTGTCCGTGAAACAAATCGCACGACGCTGCTTGCTGGCCGGGGAGACGAGAAAGTTGTGCGATCCTGCGAGAGCCATCACGCAAGGTGTGGGAGAGTTGCGAGCCCAAGCGACCGGCGTTCGTCAGATTTTCTTTGGCGTCCACGTGGCAAGAACCTGGAGACGTTATGCACGGACGCGCAGTGCATGCTGGCTCCACCGGATTTTTTTTCCCCGGAGCCAGGCCAAGCGTAGCCATGCTCGACGCACGCGGGCGGCCTTTGTTTGGTTTCCATTATCACGCGGGCTTGGTTTAACACGGCTGGTGATTGGTTGGCCTCTGTATACGCTTCACGCAGTGGAAAAAGCAAGCCACGCGAGCCAGGCCCGCGAGAAACGGATTTTATTTCCATTTCCGCGGAGCCTGTCCGGGAGGCCGCCTTTGCATCCGCTGGACTAGGCCCTGCGGCTTTTTCAGGTAACCAAACATTCAACTTCTGCATCTTCGGGCCCTGGTTGGACCATATTCCCCCAACCAATGAGGCCCCATGTGGCTGCGGTTTGGTTTCTATAAAACGCATTATACATGGGTGTTACGTGAACCCAATCACAAATACACTGACCAGCACAACGAATTGCAGGTTTCTATAGTTACCAGGAACTCCACGAGTGTGAAGACAACAGGAACTCCAACAGGAGTCCAACGGTGCCCTTGTATTTGGAGGTGCACGGCTGTGGAACAACACTTCCGTATTTTCTCCATTTTGCATTCTGGCAGGTGCTTTCTGTGATGCCCTTGCCGCCCTGCATTTTTAGGTCAATGTTCTGCAAGGTAATGCCTTGACATGGGACATTCTTGCTGCAGCTCATCTTGATGGCGTCCTTGGTAACAGTTGTCCCTCTGATGTTCTCGAAGACAACATTGCTGATCTGCACTGCTGACCTCTGTTCCCTGCATGGCCTAGTCTTGTCGCAGTAGTTCTGGTCGATGATGATCGGGTTCTTGACATTGTACATGATCATGTTTTGGAATGTGATGTCTTTGGCATATCCACTTCCTCCCTGGTATGTCTTGATGCGTGCTCCATTGGTGGTGCCATGTAATTGTATTGAATCTATGGTAATACCAGAGACTTTGGCTCGTGAGTTGTCATCTCCTAAGCTTCCGATGCTGATCCCGTGCCCAGGACCACAAATAACATTGGAGACATGAAGTTTATGAGTCCCATCCTCAATTGATATGCAATCATCCCCTGCGAAATTTATATAAGAGGAAAAAAGTTGTAAGTTTAGTGAAAGTTTGAAGACATAGTGGCATATATGATGCGAAGAATCCTGAACATTTTACTTACCAGTCTTAATCTTGCAATTTGTGACCCACACATCTTTGCTCCGAGTGATGTGAATGCCGTCAGTGTTAGGGCTCGTGCCAGGTGCTGTGATGGATAACTTCGCCAGTTGCACATTGGCGCAGTCCTCGACCGACATGTGGATCTGTTGGCTATTCACAATTTTCAGATTGTCCACCTTCAAATTGGTGCAGTAGTGGAATGACAAAGCTGTTGGAGCCTCCTTGCAAGGCTGAAGAAAACAGAAGCCAATGACACTTTTTTTTCTCCAACACACGCGCGCCCGTCAAAAAATTACTGGAATGAACCGGAGCATGGGCGCCACACTTACCAGAGCCTTGTTGATCTTGCACGAGTGCGGCCACCACTTGTGTCCGTTGCCGTCGATGGTGCCACCGCCGTCGAGAGTGAGCTTGTTGACGCTTCGGAACACGATCCAGAGCCTCCTATCCCTGTCGCTCCAGTCCGCTCTGTTCGGCGACGCCACCAGCGTGCCCTTCACGGTGACCGTGACGGTGGACTTGCACGGGCCACGGAGGGTGACGACCTTTAGCAGGTAGCGCCTGCCGTTGGGGACGAGCACGACGGCCGGCCGCGGCGAGGCGCACGCCGCCTTCCACGCCCTGGCGAGCGCGCGCGTGTCGTCGTGCCTCCCGTCGCCACGGGCGCCGTAGCGGTCGAGGCTGAACACGCTCTGCGACGCCAGGAACATGCTGCCAGAGCTGCACGTGTAGCTCGCGCCGGCAGCTGAGGTGTCGTTGCTCGCGCCTACTACAGCCTCGAGAGCGCCGGACAAGAAGAGCAGCGCGAGGAGGGGCAGGGTCGCCATGAACGCCGCAAGCTTCGTCGTCGGCTTCCTGCTGGATGCCATTGGCAGAGCTAAGCACAATGGACAGGCAGCAGCAGCCCGGACTCTGAACTGAAGTTGAATGCAATTGTGCAGCTTGTACTTAAACTCTGATCGCAGGGGACTAGAGACAACGCAGTTGCTCAGCTTGGTGTTGGGATTGTGATGCGCGCGCGGGACGAACTAGATTCTATTCTATCTGGGGTTGCGTTGCCGTTGAAGAATCACACGCACGGACGGCAGAGTTAGGCTGGCTTGGAGTGTGCATGCGTGTGGCCATGCTCGCAGGCAGACGGAAACCCGTAGATTCTTGCTTCAGGTATGCCACCAGAGGGATAAAATGAGTAATGTGACTGAATCTGAATCTGAATCCTCGTGACAAAATTTCTCAAATTCGCATCCTTCCACCCTGCAGTTGGCACGTGTACGTCAGCACACATGTACTTTGGTTGAGGTTAAGTAGTCCAGATGATGTTACAGAACTTTCAGAAAACAACTGAACAAGGGTTGCATCCATTAGCAAAGCTTCTGGCAAAACATATACGTGACACTAAAACTGACAGGGAAGCATGTAGCTTTACTGAAGGAATAATCACATGAGACTACAACCAGCTAAAAGCTAGACGATCATGACAAAATTATAGATGGATGCTGTGCTGCCGAACTGCTCGGGTCCCTTGCCGGCCCAAACCACAGCTCTCTGGTGTCGACTGACTCCCAACTCGCACACTACTGGAAACGATCGTGTTCCTGTCGGAACCACCATACTTGTGCAAACTTTGCAAACTAATAATTTGGACCCCATGATGCTCATCCGAAGGCTGTGGAGAGAGGTGGGACTTTTTTACATTTAACAGCCCGCCAGGCACTAGTAATTGTGTTTTGTTTTCCAAATGACCCCCCTAATCGCCCGATGCTCCAGTAGAATCGAAGCCCCCTAATCGCTCCAGTCTTGTCGAAGTCAGCCGCCGCCGGTCCATCTTCGTATCGTATGCGCTGCGCGTCTCTTCGACTCTACTGCCGCCGCCGCTCCTCGTCATGACTCACCGGCCGCCGGACTCGGAGATGCTGCCCACGAACGCCGCCCCGTTGCTGCCCACGAACGCCGCCCCGATGGTGCCCACGGTTGCGCACTGCCCCGATGCAGGTTCGTTTCTGCCCTCCTATAAGACTGTCGTCTTGACTTTCATCTTGAGTAGGATCATTGCTAACATCCCTGCATGCCGCGGATGGTGAACCTGCAGTCGTCGTTGATTCTGCGTCCTTTGAGGCCACCAGCATGGATAATGCCGGCATGACCATCATGGACGTCGATGCCGGAGTTGGAGCCTACCTTGAAGAACCAAGCACACCACGGGCAACCTCTTCTCCTAATATAGCAGATAGTTGCAAAGAACATTCGAAGCCTATGGTTGGAATGACATTTGATACACTCACAGACGTGGAGAATTTTTACAAGGAGTATGCACACGAAGCTGGTTTCTCTGTTCGTGTTGGTCAGCACAAATACTATGCACATGAGGAAATATTTTACAAGAGGTTTTTTTGCTCAAGGGAAGGGTACAGAAAGGAGAAGGTACACGATGTTAGTGATCAATCCGGGAAAAAAAGGAAGACATCAAATGTGGTGGAAACCCGATGTGGCTGTGAGGCACATATTGTTGTTAAGCTTGGTAGTGACAAGAAGTATCGAATATTTTCAATGTTTGAGGAGCACAACCATGGTTTTGTGTCGCCAGATAAGAGGCACTTGCTAAGATCCAACCGTCGTGTTCGTGAGAGGGCAAAGAGTACTTTGTTCAACTGTCATAAGGCTAGCATTGGCACGTCCCAGGCATTTCGCCTTCTCCAAGTCAGTGATGGTGGATGTGAAAATGTTGGTTGCACGCTGAGGAATTTGAAGAACTATTATCATGACCTGAGGAGCAAAATCAAGGATGCTGATGCACAAATGTTTGTGGGATAACTTGAGCGAAAGAAGGAAGTAAATCCTGCCTTCTTTTATGAGTTTATGGTGGATAAACAAGGACGACTTGTGCGTGTCTTCTGGGCAGATGCCATATGCAGGAAAAACTATTCTGTTTTTGGTGATGTGCTTTCGGTAGATTCAACATATACTACTAATCAATATGATATGAAGTTTGTGCCATTTACTAGAGTCAATCATCACTTGCAAAGTGTTTTTCTTGGGGCAGCATTCTTGGCTGATGAAAAGATCGAGTCATTTGTATGGTTGTTTCAGACCTTTCTTAAGGCTATGGGTGGAGTAGCACCTCATCTAATCATAACAGATGAAGATGCAAGCATTAAGGCTGCTATTGCTCAGATTCTACCAAATACAGCTCATAGACTTTGCATGTGGCATATCATGGAAAAGGTACCTGAGAAGGTTGGGCCCATCATAAGAAATAATGAGGAATTCTGGGAAGTATTAAACAAGTGTGTTTGGGGCTCTGAGAATTCAAGTGAGTTTGTATCTGAGTGGAATTCTATCATGATAAAGTATGAGCTCATTGGAAATGAGTGGTTTTCCGCAAAGTTTGACATTCGAGAGTCATGGATTCCAGCATACTTTATGGACATACCTCTAGCATGACTTCTTAGGACTACATCACGATCGGAGAGTGCAAATTCTTTTTTTAACCGTTTCATTCATCGAAAGTTATCCTTTGTTGAGTTTTGGCTAAGGTTTGACACAGCTTTGGAGTGCCAGCGCCAAGAGGAGTTGATAGCCGACAATAAAAGTCGTCACACCAATCCTAAATTGATGACACCATGGGCCATGGAGAAGCAATGTAGTGTCGTATATACTCATGAAATTTTCAGCAAGTTTCAGGAACAACTCATAGTTGCAAGAGACCATTGCATTATTCAAGGGATTTCGGAGTCTGAAGATATGAAAACTGTCACCATCAGCAGCCTGTCTGGAAAAGAGCGAGTGGTTCAGATGAACAAGTCAAACATGTTTGGTATGTGCTCCTGTAAATTTTATGAGTCCTATGGCATCCCGTGCCGTCATATCATCCAAGTGCTTAGAGGCGAGAAGCAAAATGAGATACCATCGATTTATTTTATGAAGAGGTGGGACAAAAGGTGTAAAAGGTGAGTTGACACGGCTGATTTATTTTCTATTCAAAAATTATTTTGTATGTGCAATAGTGTTGATCGGATCTTTATTTTCATAGAGAACTCTTCTTCGATGACGAAGGTAACCTTCTCGATGAAAAAGCTAAAGATCCTATGGAGGTGGCAATGCGGAGAAAAATTTCAGATTCACGCAACAAGTTTGAAGATCTTATCCAGATGGCCAAAAACTCTGAACAAGAAATGGAATTTTTATATTCTAGTTTAGCAAACCTTGTAGAACCTCTCCAAAATATCATTCCTGCTGCTACAGTTAATAAACAAGATGAGTTTGAAGCATTCCTTGGTGGCAAAATCCCACAAGAAGTGGAGATACATCCACCAAATGATATCAACTCCAGAGGGCGATGCAAAAGAATTAAAAAGGGCAAGGAGAAGAAGGCACCAAGAAAACGGATGTGTGGAAAATGCAAGCAATTAATGGATCATGACGCCCATAATTGCCCAAACAATGTCGTTGGCTCATATTTCAAGTTTGCTACAATGCATGATCATTCCTAGTGTTAATAGTTTCATGCTTTCTGAAAGTATCCTGTGTGTTTTGCTTTTCAGAAACAGAACCACTGTCAGTGTACTCTGAATTTGTTTGTCACTGTACTCTGAATTTGTTTGCTTGATACAGGAAGACTCTGAATTTGTTTGCTTGATACAGGAAGCATTCAGTAAACCAATCAGAAAACAAAGATGAAGTATAACTCTATGAAAAAGAAAACAAAGAATCGAACACATCCTTTTGTTCAGCACCGAGCATGGCAACTGACATACACTTCTTACATGGCTACATCAACGTTGAATGTAGCAATGAATCCATGCACACAGCACATAATTCTGAACACATGCTGAAATCAATTTTATTTCAATCTTCATAACACAGAATTCACATGGTTACATCATTTTGTTCAGGCATTACACACAGAAGGCACAATTGCCATTAGCATTACACAGATCACCAACTCGAGTCCTGCAAACAGATCACCAAAACAACACTGAGCCCTGCACTTTCAGGCATTACACACAGAAGGCGCCAACTCGAAGCCTTTGAAGCAGCAACCTTCGAAACAGCAACACGACTCACGAGCATGGCGGGCAGCCTCGACACGCAGCGTCGTGGCGGGTGAGGTTGATCCTGGTCGTGGCAAAGCGAGGTGGAGGCGGTCGCGTGCCCAACGCGAGCGACTGGTAATGGACCTGGCGTCGGGTACAGGCTTGAAGTTGAAGGCGGGTCGCCGTGTATTGTGTGGCGCGCAGCTGTGTGAGCGGTCGGCGTGAGCGGGCCGGCGGAGGGCAAGAGCGCAAGGAGGCGGCTCCTCCTCCGGGGGTGCTCTGCAGGCGGCTCCTCCGTGACCGCTGGCGGAGGACTCGTGGCGCTTGAGAGGCGGCGGCGGCCGACGTGGCGGGCGGTGGGAGGGGGCGCGCAAAGGCAGCTCCTCCTCCGGGGGCGCACGCAAGGGGGCGGCTCCTCTCCGGGGCGCTCCTCCTCCGGGGGCGCTCCTCCTCTGGCTGCCTGGAACGGAGGAGCGACGGGCGAGAAGAAAGAGCGACGGGGAAAGAAAGATGGGGTCGCGACGGGGGGAAAGGAAGATGGGGTCTTTTTTGCAAAACGGACTGAGGGCTGGCGGGCGTTTAATCGTAAAATTACCCCACCTCTCTCCGTAGCCACTGGATCTCAGATCGATGGTTTGAAACGGAAGTTTCCAAGGTTGCACAGCAACCTTGGTTTGCATACGATACGGAGCCCTTTTATATACCTTAACATGGTAAGTTATACACAGGTCCAGCTCAAATAGACAATGGGAGAGCAGGTGTGGGGCTGCTTCAGTTCTGCACTGCAATTCCACCATAGTCTAAGGAGAAGATTAGAAAATAGTTTAGGATTTCCAATGTAAAATCATCTATTAACCTTTTAATTTATTATTTTTTGAATATGATTAATTTATCTTAAACAACATAATATAGGTGATAAAAATCATGAAATGACCTTTGTATTTTTTATGTAGTTAAATTTGTACATTTTTTTAATATGGTAAAATCTTGCGACCCGTGCAACGTTCAGGCATATAAATCTAGTAAAATTAAAAAATGCTTTGTGCTAATCTCTAGCACCGCGTATATCCGCTATGTCGTGTATATACATACATGTGTGTATATATATTATGCATACATATACATACATGTGCATATACATTTTTTATACACACATACGTAGCTTGTGCCTCCCTTCCCGGGTGGCATTTTGCTAATAGATTAGTACATCTTTGAATATGATGCACGAAATATGTTTCCACGGTACGGCACTATATGCCCTACAGAAACCTTCGCGGAACGGAAATAAACGAAAATAACCTACTGCCGCTGCTGGGCCTAGGGCGACGTGTCGGCCTGCTAGCCCGCGGTTGTTCACCTCTTAGCTGGGCCTAGGCCCCTACGCCTCACCGCCGCCGTCGTTTGCCGGAGATCTCTCGCGGAGGGCGGAGGCGCTGGCTCGGCGGTTACGTCGCCTCCAATCTGACGGTGATTGAGGATAGTTGTTGGATCAAACCGAAATCCTTCACGAGTTCACAGCAATGGAGAGCGACAGAGCGTGGCCTACTAGCCTGCTTGCCGTTCTGTTCTGACCTCCACCTCCGCCACCAGCGTCACCCGAGCGGGTGTCTGAACCTAACGTTCATTATCTTTTTTTTCATGGCAAAGTACATTTTTTAACCTCCAACTTCCATTGAAGTTCGATTTTCAATCTTCAACTATAAAACCGGATAACAGACACCCTTCAACTGTTAAAACCGGACAAATCTGGTTCTCGGCTGTTTCAAAAATGGTTTTCTATTTTTTTAATATAATAATAAAAATCCATTTCGATCTCTAGAAGTTCGTGATTTTTTTTTAAAATTACAAAAATATGAAACTTGTTCATATTTCCTTCTAAAAATGTTATATATGTTGATGCTATATTTAAAATTGTTTAGGACTTACTTGTTTTAAATAAATAACAAACGTGACAACGAGCAATAATGCAATAGGAACATAATAAATAAACAAATTCCAAATACCTATATATAGACCACAAATAAGTAGAGAACATTTTTAGAAAAAAGTATTAGAGAGTTTCATCTAAAATAAATGCCCGCGGGGATATCAATGCTACTGTACATGGCTTGACGTTCACGGTCCGCCTCTCTTAGTTGTTTTCGGCCAAAAGCAACCTTGGCACTAGGTTCGCACGGAGACGAAAGTCGGAACTGTCATGTAAAAGAACGTAAAGCGAACAATTTAATTCTGTGCGAAATTTAAAACAATTTTAGCATTGAACTGAATTTTATAATTATTAGAAAAATAGAAAACCGCTTTTAAACCAGCAAAGGACCAAATTCGTTCGGTTTTGATAGTTGGAGGGTGTCTGTTACCCGGTTTCATAGTCGAAGGTTGAAAATCAAATTTCAATGTGAGTTTGAGGTTGAAAAGTATAACTTTACCCTTTTTTCCCTCTCTTTCTGAATGTTCAAACGCAACCTGATTGTGGAATCTATGTCAGCTTGCTTGCAGTGAAAGCAGTGTAGGGTTGTAGTGTTACAGAGCGTGAGGAAATGCTCTGCACCGAAGTGGATTCATGTGAAAAAAATGCATCAAGCACGACGCTAAGCGAAGGATGTTCTCTCTCACATGTTACTCGGCACTACTTCAGCAGTATTTTTCAACAAAGAAATAATATATTTTTATAAGATCCATATAAAACACTTGCGACATATGTTTGAAACAGCCGAAACATTTAAAACCATACACTTATAGCATACGTGTATGTCCACTGCAACATATGCAGCATCTGTATAAAACACTTGTAACATATGTTTGAAACGGCTAAAATATTTGAAAACATACACTTACAGCATACGTGTATAGCCAGTGCAACACATGCAATATCTAGATAAACCCCTTGCAGCATACTTTTAAAAACAGCTGAAACATTTACTTGCAGTATATGTGTATAGACATTGTAACACCAGGTCTACTGTTGTAACATCAAATAAAACATATTTAACATACATCTAAAATATATAAAATATACGGTCATAACGTGTGCTCATCTACTCGTTGCCATTCAATATAAGCTCGTTGATGTAGAGCTCCACGTTGGCATGGAGTTCGATGACACGGTGTGGAGGTCACTCACGGTCCACGGATCTCGGCTGCGCACAACGCGAGTCCGGATGGCAAGCAGCGCGCACCGCGAGGCACGAGGCGTAGGTGAGGCGTGCGAGGCGCAAGGTGCGGGAGCAGGCGGATCCGTCCTGTCGTTAGGACGGACGCTAGGTACAGAGCATTTTACCATCTCATTTTTGGCGAGTCCGACGAGAGGACCCATGTCGTTTCTTGTGTAGTAGTGTGTGCTGCGTGCCTGCCCCGCACGCTTCTCGTCCGACGATCAGGAGGATACTCCCACTCCCAGACTGCCCTTCCTTTCCTTTAATTTCTTTCCCCATCCGTCAAATAAAAAGCCTCCCGGTGCACATCCATAGTTACGCATCCGCGCGCCCAAACCTCCTCCTCGCCTGAGAGCGCCACGCAGCACTCAGATCCCATCGAGACACCTCCGTACGTCCACCAATCCCTAGCTCTGATTCACATGGAGGGCCTCGAGAAGTACTACGAGTTCAGCCCTAGCGATCAGAGACTCATCGACGCCTACCTTCGCCGCAAGATCGCCGGCAAAGATGTAGGCAGCGGCTCCATCCACGACGCCGATGTGACCTCCAACCACCCCTACCATCTCGTGCGGAAGCACGCGCCCGCGCCTGGGAGTCTCAACGGCGGTGTAGACAAGGGAGTCTGGTTCTTCTTCAGCCCGAAGCGCTACGTCGGGAATTCGAAGGCGAGCGCGCGCAGCGGATCTCGGCTCCGGAACTGGGCGCGAACCGTGCTCGGCGTCGACGGCAAGAAGAAGGGGGCGTGGCACACGGAGGGTAGGAAGAAGACGGTGCACGGAAGCTCTGGCGGGTACTTTCAGAAGCTGTCGTACGAGGAGGTGACGCCGTCGGGGTCGGTCGTCAAGACGGGATGGCTGATGATCGAGTACGCCATCGAGGAAGACCACGGCGGCGGCGGCGCCATGGTCATAGGCAAGGTGTACAAGTCACCACGAGGCCCTGGATCCGACGTGCCGTCGTCGTCGAGCAAGAGGAAGGCGGACGTCGTCGAACAGCCCGTCGTCGAACAGTTGCAGAGGCCATGGAACCGAACGCACGAGGAGGCCGGGCATGTTTTTGGCTGGCAACCTGCTGCAGCGCGAGGACTTGACAACGACAGACTACTACGCGGATGCGCCGGCGGTGTATCAAGATACAGATCACATATTGGGAAGCGGCGAATCGGCGACGTCGGCGGACCAATGCATAGGGAAGACAAATCAGGTGCCTAATGAAGGGCAACCGCGGATTCAAGAAGACGCCAGCGACGAGCTTACGCGATTTTGGGAGTTGATGGCGACCGGTCACGAGCAGATGGGTTATCTTCTCCAAGAAAACCAGCCGGTGCCGCCATGGGCTGCTCAGACGGAGGATGAAGACGAAGTGTTGGAGATAAGCTTCGAGGAGTTCACGGGTTCTTCGGCGCTTGCTGCTACATTGCCGCTGCCATGCGCTGCTCAAGCTCAACCGGAAGACGCCGCCATCTCGTTCGTCCAGATGTCAGAACAGAAAGTTGTACCGGCAGATGACGACGGCGAGATCGAGTTCACCCTTGAAGAGTTGATGATGGGCTCTTCAACGCCCGGTGGTTATAACAGCATGCCAAGCCCACGGCCACTCACCAACGACGACGACGATATCCACGGACTGCCGTGCCCGCCGATGGACTACGTTATCTTGGAGGCCCTCGTGGAGCTTGGTCCTGCGGCTATCATGGAAGAGGACTTTATCGGCGATCTCTAGACGCCAGTTTTGATGATGATATAGCAAGTTAGGATTAGCTCAAGAAAAGATGTTGTAAACGTGGCACTGTTTGCCTTCGATTCATTATTTGCTTTTGTAATTCATGATCGTTAGAATGCATGGTCTACTAATAAAGCATGCACTGCTGCTGTTTTGTTGTTAAGAATAAAGCACACAGATATTTCACCACATAAATGCTCAAATTGCCGGTCTAACTGGCCAAGAATGTTCTTTTTTTACACTAATGATGAATCATGATAGACATCGTTTTTTTTTTGAGGAAAATGATAGATATCGATTGAAATGCCATTGTTTAAACACTTCAGCTTTTTTTTTTCGAGGGGAGTTTAAACACTTGAGTTGAGCCCATCATATTAGCAGGGAGAGGCCCAATCACAGCCCCAGCTTGAATTTGTCTGGAGTTAGTCTTTTTGCCCAGCTTTGCCCGGGCCTGATCGTCTGCACTTTCGATCCATTTTCAATTCCATACAGGATTAGGAGGATTCCTTGCAAACTGATGATCAAATACGCAAACTCTAATCCATTAAAACTACCTATTTTTGTGAATTTGTGATGGAAGTAAAATAGTAGTAGGCCCATGTCCATTCCTTCTCGAAAGCTTTCCACCACTGTGGCCCTTGTTGCACGTACGGCCTTTCTCTGTTTCAATTCGCCCAGTAGTAGGTTTACGAGTCCATGAAAGGAGACCATCAAACGTGGATGCTCATAATTTAGCTAGAAGTTATATCTATACTGATTTAGGGTTGTATCTCCGCTTGATATCATTTGTACTTCCTACGAAGGTCAATAAAATGTCTATTCCCCTAAAAAAAGTAGTAGGTTTATGAAGACTCGCGAAACAAGGCATAGTTAGTTTTTAATTTCTTCGGAGAAAAACTGTACTTAAAAAAAAACAATATTAGAGCTAGCGTACAATGGAAGCGCAGGTCTCCAGCGTTCTGGAGAGAAAAAAAAGATGGACTACTTTTTCGAACACAAAGTAATAAAGATGTGTATCTAGACGTCTACGTGCGTCAGAGCGAACAACATGCTCCTGCGAGTTTTTGAATATGAGCCATCGGTTAGCTTCCAAAATTTATCATACTAAAGATTTAGCGCCCCACGATTTAGGTTAACATTTGATTTGCTATCAAAACTTGTCAAACTCTTATATTTGACTTGCTAAATCTATGGTAATTGTTTTGCCTAACTTTAACTTGCCAAATTTTTGACATGACGAATTTTGAAAGTCATGCCTATGGATTCTGGTGAATTATATTTTTAGCCCGTATAATAACGTGTCTGCTGGAGACGAATGCATCTCTAGGCTCTAGCAAGAGGCAAGAGTAGTACGCAGCAGTAATACGAGAGACGAGTGCACACCAAGAGACAAGAATCTGATGTCGCGGCCGTGCCCTCCAGCCGACGGCGTGGCAAGCAAATCGATCGGTAATCAAGCAGCAGGCACCGTCATGGCCGTCATGATAATGGCGAGGTACAGTGTATGCCTGTCAGCATCGAGGTTACTGATTGTTGATGAGACGTTTTCACCATCCGCAGTTAAAGGCTTGTGAGATGACGCCGTACTGTCCCGGGCCACCGACGGGGGCACCGGCACCCATCCGTAGCCGGAGCCGGAGCCGGAGGGGACGCCTCAATTATCCTCATGATAACTTCCATCGTTCGTCCCAACAACATTTTTTAATATATTCCATTTTGCCATACAACTTTACGTTTTCACAATGTTAATTAACTAACTAAGGGGCCGATTCCATGATCCTATGTAGTACTAGAGAGTCTACGTCTGTATGATTTTTACATTTATTATTGCGATCTTATAATTACGGTTTCACCTAAAACCCTGAGATTTGATTTTAGAACCTACGATTTTGACAGCCGTTGCAATTCTACAAAGGCCACAGGCACACATTGGTCCAGACTTGACCGATGACGTTTGGTAGCATGTGAACGGTATGCAAATGGTTTCAGCAACAACGTTCAGTGAGTCACGACTCACGACAGATAGGGATGCATGGCAACATTGGCAGAAACAGAGAGACCCCCATTTTCTCTCTTCTCTGGCTGGTTATTTGCCTCGCGCTAGCTAAAGCTAGCTAGCTGGGCCGCTAGGGTTCCGGTTCCGCCCGCCTCTCTGCTGCGTGCATCTGGTAGGTAAAGCCTCATTTATTTATGAAATCCGGAAAGGAAAAGGCAAAGGCAAAGAGATCGACGATGGCCTACTAGCGGGGTTAGCACTAACGTGGATCATGATTTGTCATCCGAGCGCACTAGCTTGTTCTCGCTGTCACGACACCTGGACTTACCTGGCTGAATCACCTTTTCTTTGCACAAAGTTTTCGATTCGTTTGGCTAGCCTTTCTATTTGTTCATTCATGGCCAGGGGTGAACAATGAGCGAATTGTATTCTTTTTTTTTCAAGTTTCCTTCAGAATTCACGTATTTATTAACTAATAATGAGCAGGGGCAAAAAAATTGGATTTTATTCAGAATTAGCTACTTTTTAGTTTTGGACGGGTGAAAAACAAGTACAATTGGATTATTATTATTTTCGGAACGAGCCACAGGGTGAGTTGGACTAAAAAGGGGTTTTTTTTTTTTGCGAAGGGTTCGACAGTCTTTTCATGGTGTACAGATGTACCGTGACACGCGCGGCGGATGACTCGGAACGCTGGGTGCCAGGCTTGAAACCGAGAGCTAACCTACCGGCACCAGTAAACCCTCAGTTAGTAGTAGTAGTTACAGAAAATTACAAAACGACTAGTCTCTTGGGTGTGCTGCTTTACGTTTTCCAAGCTGCTACCAGCTAATTAAATTAAAACAGGCAGCATGCATACATGGCAGCACCTGAGCGATCCAAGGTCGCTCTCTGTGACGGCAACGTCTCTGGCGAAATCAACCCATTTGTTTTGTCTTTTGTTGTACCCAAAGGGCAGGCAGAGCGTGCCAATCGACGTCCTCGCGCAGGAATGTCGCACGCACGCACAAGGCACAATATTTTAGCCCGCTCTGCCTGCCTCTAGCCACTGAAAACCAGCCAGGCACTGCACTGCACTGCACTGCACACCCATCCGTGCTGCGTCAGTCCGCGCGGCGACTGACTCGGCGCAGCGCGGCAACGAGCGGGCGAGCGTGACAGCCGGTGGCCCACGTCACCCACCGTGTACACGTCCCGCGGCCCGCGCACACGTGCCCCCCGCCGGCCGCTGGACGGGCGCGCGCGGGCGGAGGTGCAAACGGCGAAAGCGCCCCTCGGCGCGCTCGCGCACGACAGAGACCGTCGCGTCGCGTCCCGGGCGCGGCTGCGCTGCGTCCGTCCGCGACGAGGGACGAAGGACGAAGGAGGGAGGAAAGCGACAGCGGCCGGCGAGCGACGCGCGGGCCGCGTGCGCGCCGCGCGTTGGCCGCCCCGCCCGCGCGACCCCGCACGTAAAAAAAAAACGAAAAAGAAATTCTCGGAGGGGCACGAGAGGGGGCCCCGGGGCGCTTATCCCATCCCATCCCATCCATGCCCCGGCGGAAAAGAGCGAGAGCGACGGCCCGCCACGACCTGGGCCTGGGCCCTAGCCTGCCACCGCCCTAGGATCATCCATCCCAATCGCCCGCTGCCACCTCGCGCGGAGCAGAGCATCCTTCCCCGCGAATTAAACCGCTCATGATGATCTTTCTGGCGATGACTAGTACTGCTAATAATATATTTATTTATAAACAGCTGTGAATTATTAGAGTAATCCCGTCGGCTTTTGGTCGCTCTTGTTGGTCCATACGTACGTACAAGATTATGAGGATAATCATCCCGTTCGTTTGGCTTGTTAGGTTTATAAACCGTACTTTTTTAAGTTAATGAATAATATTTTTCTTTCACACTAAATCAGTCAACAGTACTTTCAGTCATAACTTATCAGCCTAAGCCCAAGCGAACCGGGCAATTTGCGTGCGTGGATTGGGCTTTCTAGTATCTTTTCTTTCTTATAGTGCTCCGTCGATTGCGATAATAATGCAGATAATAAAGCAACAACTAGCTAATCGACACACCACACCAGCACCTACCTACTTTCGCTAGGGTGGTTTAGTAGTACTAGTATACAAATTTATGTACAAGTGCACGCTGGAATGTGATGGCACAGTACAGTAGCGTGTGTGTTTTTCGTTGGAGAGATGTGCCATGCATGCATTTCGGTTGGTCTAAGGACTTGAGTTTATCGGTCAGAGTCGGCTCTACTTTTTCCAGTTATAGAATAATATTTTTCTCTCACAACAAATTAGTCGTAGCAACAATAAATCCTGTCAAACAGGGCCTAAGTTTGGCTCCAGCTATATATACTTGCCAAACTTGTCAAGTTTTCAAGTTATTAGAAGAAAAAACGACAGTAGATAAGTGCATCCTTTTGCTTGTTGTGAATTGTGCTCATCGTATCCTCAATTTGACTGCTCTATACGAGCCGTAAGTACTACTACTACTAGTGGTGCTTGGAAGCTTCAGTTCAGCGCTTAGGTACACGACAAACGAAGAGAAGTTTCTCGATGGCAGATTCTTCTCCCTGCCATCATCTTCTTCTCACAGAAAGATCTTATCTTATCCATCCAACAGCTAGCAAAAGAAGCCCATCAACGCACTGTGACGCGTCACTGTCAGTTAGCGCGTGTTTAGTTCCCACCCCGAATTTCTAAAAAGGTTACAGTAGTCATCACATCGAATCTTACGATACGTGTATAGAACATTAAATATAGACAAAAAAAACTAATTGCACAGTTTGGTTGGAAATTACGAGACGAACGTTTTGAGCCTAATTAGTCCATGATTAAACATTAATTGCCAAATAAAAATAAAAGTGTTATAGTAGTCAAATTCTAACTTTCCTCCAACTAAACACAGGCTTACTACCCACATTTAGCTTTTCATTAACAGCGTACTACTTCTACTAAAGCCCTGATCAGAATCACACAGTCAAAAGTGCTGCAACTTGCAAACTGGCAGCGAA